GTTTAGTGGTGTGTGGTACGGAGGGGGGTGCTGCCTTCCCCTGCCATTATGTAATAAAGTCCCGTTGTGGCGGGACTTCTTTTTATTTATTTATTATTATTATTATTTTAAATTTGGTATAGGGCATGTGTGCTCACCAGAGAGAGAGAAAGAGGGAGGAAATAAAAAAGCCTTCAGGTCTGAGACTCAAACTATGGTTGGCCATGTGGGAGTCTAGTGCCTTAGCCACCATGCCATCTGCTGGTCCATGTCTGGGCGTTTTAGAGGTCAGCAGACAAGGGAGCCAGAAGCGAGGGCATGGTCTGGTCTTTGAGCAGATGACACTTCCTCTAGTGGACAGACGTGGCCTCTGCCACCACCAGATTGAGGCCAATTGGGAGGTGGACTAAAGCTGGCCAGAGCTCGGCTGCTGGGGCCTGCGTGAGCCAGGGCTCATTGCTCAGAGGAGCCGGCTTTGGTCTCCCTCGGGCAGGTGTTTCCTCCAGCCCAGCATTTCCAGCAGTTTTACCCATTCTCTGCTAGAATGCTTCTCTTGTTGGGAAGCTCACTACCTAATCTGCGACACAGCGGGAGACAGCTCTAGTAAGCCAAAGCCCCCCCTCTTAACTCTCTCTCTCTCTCTCTCGCTGTTCCTGGGACTGCAGAGTAACCCAGACCAGGCCACGCAGCCGTCAGATATACAAAGAGTGTCAGCCATAGCTGACTCGGGTCATTGTGCCTTCCCTCCCCGTGCCTTGTCTAGAAGCAGCGTCCAGACCTTGTCTCCTAAGGGGCCTTGTAGTACAGTGTGGGCATCTTGGGGGCTTTTCTGATTATAAAAATATTTACTCGTTTAGGTGATTCAAAAAATATAGAGATTCACACTAAAAAGAAAAACAACTCACACCCAAACTTCCTTATCCCTAGTCCTATTACTGGGCATTATGGTGAAGGCTTCACCTTCCAGCCAGTGCTGGGAGATGGTCCTTATTTACCATCCGTCACCTCGGTCTCTCTGCTTGCAGGCCCTGGAACATCTTGTGTAGACAAGCAGGGATGACAGAGAAGTTTCATATTCGTGTAAACCCCAGATTGAGAGTCTGAGACTGCAACCACGCTCAGTGGGAAAAATCATTGTGATCATTTAGTAATGTCTGCCCTGGGTGTGGGAAGTAGGAGCAGGGGTATGTATGCCACCTGCCCCTCCCCTATACTAAATGACTTGAAATATCAGTGAAGCTGGGACCAGCAGTTAGCATAATGGGTTTGAACTTGAAATATCAGTAAAGCTGGGACCAGCAGTTAGCGTAATGGGTATGTTGCTGGACTCCCCTGTAGTTGATTGCAGTTCGAGTCCTGGACCCAGTAGCTTAAACTCATGCTGGGTACGTGTGCGTGGGTGCCCACGATCCCGAAAGGAGACTGGAGGAGAAGGGATTGTGGTGTGGCCAGCGCCCCTGGGGGGATGATTCTCGCTTTCTGTCTCTCTGTCTCTTTTGGTCTTTCTGGAGAGCGCACGTGCCCTATAGCAAAAACTTCTCAAAAAAAAAAAATCGGTGAGGCTAAAACTGACCTTAAGTCTCTTTAAGACTCTGCTCCTTGAGTCCTAGGACCATGGTCTGTTTCTTGAAAGGAAATAACTAAGGGGTTGAGTTCCCAGTCAACACTCCCTCCATTGAAGTGTGATGAGGAAGCTTATGACTCAGGGCATGAGGCCATCCTGGAAGAAAAGCGTGGGTCCTGTTAAATCAATGAGTAAACCCAGAGTAGGATCTTAAGTCTCTTTAAGACTCTGCTCCTTGAGTCCTAGGACCATGGTCTGTTTCTTGAAAGGAAATAACTAAGGGGTTGAGTTCCCAGTCAACACTCCCTCCATTGAAGTGTGATGAGGAAGCTTATGACTCAGGGCATGAGGCCATCCTGGAAGAAAAGCGTGGGTCCTGTTAAATCAATGAGTAAACCCAGAGTAGGCCACAGGCCACAGGCGGGCTATTGAGCAGGCGAGGTGGGGAGGTGTGCGCTCCGGCACCACCCCTTGGGCCTGGCAAGGCTGCTGGGCCAGGCTGCAGCTGTCAGCTTCTCGCTCCTTGCAGGAGCAGGGGCTGTGACAGCAGCTCCTTGATAGAAGCCACACTTCAGGTGCCCTGCCTTCGGTGGCCTCGTCTAGGCAGGACTGGGTGACAGAAGGGCTGATCTGTGCCACTGTCTGCTCAGGGCCGCTGATACTCTGGTTGATTTACCTCCTCTTCCGTCCTCCCTCTCCCAGCCCATGAAACCCCTGAAGGCCACAGCCACCACCTCCCAGCCCGTGCTCACCATCCAGCAGATCGAGACCATCTTCTACAAGATCCAGGACATCTACGAGATCCACAAGGAGTTCTACGACAACCTCTGCCCCAAGGTGCAGCAGTGGGACAGTCAGGTCACCATGGGCCACCTCTTCCAGAAGCTGGTGAGTCTCTCCTTGATGATGGGTCCTTGTGTGGGACTTTGGGGAGCTGCTAGTGTTGGAAGAAGGCTAGGAGCGAGAGTGCCCCAACACTCAGGGAGCTCTTAGAACTGCCTGTCGTCTCAGAAATCATGAGTTTCATGAGGACAGACTGCTTTTCTCTTCTTATCAGACCCCCAGAACCAGCCCGTGAGTTAGTTCGTGAATGAATGCACACACTGTGACCTTGAGCACTGGGCGGGTCTGGGGAGGACTTGGAAGCAGTCAGGATTCTCCAGGGACAGAACCAATAGGGTATATGCGAGGTCTTCAAAAAGTTCGTGGAAGATGAGTATTATGGAAAATATATACCTGCGTTTCTTTTTTATTTTTTATATTTTTGGCCCCCCCAAAATTGTACTTTAATTCCATTCTTCCACAAACTGTTTGTAGCCCCTGTGTGTGTCGGGGGGGGGTAAACGAGAGGGGCTTTATCAGAGGACTCAGTTCACGCACTTACGGGGGCTGAGAAGTCCCATGACGTGGTCTGCAAGCTGGAGGCCTGGTATACCGGTGTGGGTGGGTCATTCCACTTCACGTGCCCAGACTCACACAGCAGTCTCCTGGAAACACCCTCACCGGCTCAGCTGAACGGGATGCTTTGCAGTTCTCTAGGCATGCTTCAGTCCAGCCAGTCGAGACCTGAAGTGAATATCACAGGCGTTGAGGGAGGAGGCATCGCAGAGCCGAGGTCTGTGTCCCGACAGTCCTGCTGTTTAAGCCCAGCAGTGCTGTGGGGCCAGATCACGGCTGGGTTTGAATCCTGGCCTTGTCACAGATGAAGCCTGTGACTGGGCAGCTCCCCCAGCTCTCTGTGACTCGGCTTCCTCCTCTTTAACAATGAGCGTAATGACAGTGTTTACCTCATTGGATTGTTATGTGAGGAGTCAGGGAGTCCATGACTGAGCACTGCTGGGAACGCGGCCCAGCGCGTCGTACATTGGTGAGTGTTCAGTAGTTAGCCGTTATGACTCTTGTGGTTAGGAAGAGGCACCCCAGAAAGCATGGTTTTGAGAGACCCTCACAGTGCAGGGTCTGGCAGACCTGGATGCTTCTCCCAGTTCAGGAGGGGTGCACGCCTAATCATCACTGGCCTTGGGAGTGTGGACTGATTGGCTCGGGGTGCTGCTCTGCCAGCCCTCAGGATAGAAGAGAACAACCCTGCGGCGGAGAGTGAGTGGCCAGAACATAGCGGCTGTCCCTGTTTTCTTTATTGCTGGGACTCTGCTGTCACCTGTGTCCCCCCAAGGCCTGAGCTCCACAGGCTGCTTGTGAACTTGCTTCCCACTTCCTTTCCCCAGCATCATGCACTGATTCCCAGGGTCCCTAGGCTGCAGGCTTGCAGGGGTCTGGGTGGGGCCAGGCAGACTGGGCATCTGGAGGGAGTTTATTTTCAGCTCAAGTCTCCGGGCATTTGATTATTCATTACTGAGAGAAGGGAATTAGCATCTCTGCTGTTTGTTTTATGAGCTCACCCCAGTGCCAAGTGCTGTTTCCAAGCAACCTCTACTTTGTAGCTGATGGGCCTGGCAGGCCGGGCCTTAGGCCCTGTAGCCCAGGGTGACTGTGGAGAAGACAGGACCTGAGATGGCCTTGACCCCTGCACGCAGGCGGCTCCTGCTCCTGGCTGGGTAGGGGGCCAAGGGGACTCCGTCCTGTACGAAGACCAGTGATTTGTGCTTCAGCTTGGAACACAGCTGTCTAGCCATCCCCTGTAGCTTGGGGCAGCCTGGCCATTACTCCCCTGGAAAAGGAATGACTTCCATCCCTCTCTACTGCTCCCTCCAAATTGTCTGTTTTGAAAAGTGCCCCTCTGGGGCTGAGACCTACTCTGGCCTTGGCTTCTCCCTAAGCATCTGGGTTCTCACTCTCATCTCTAGCTTCCCTAGATCCCACCCTCCCATGCCAGCCTCCGAAGGGCTCTGGCCAGCCTCCCTCCTCAGCCTGTTTGGGTCCTTGAGGGACACAAAGATTCTCTAGAAAGCAGAGTGGTCTGGGTGGGGCCTAGGAGCTGCCTAGTTTCCCCACCACCTTGGTGGGAAGTAGAGACACCTCCCACCCCAACAAGCCAGCAGCTGTAACCCCTTGATAGCTCATTTAAAAAACAGAACTAGGGACCAGCAGTTGTGTAACGGCTATGTCGCTGGACTTCCATGTAGTCGACTGCGGTTCGAGTTCCAGGCCTGGTGGGACTCATGCCGGGTGCATGTGCGTGCATGCCCAAGATCCCAAGAGGAGAATGGAGAAGGGATTGCGGCGTGGTCATTCCCCCTGGGGGGTGGTTTCTCACTTTCTGTCTCTGTCTCTCTCCGTCTTTCTGGCAAGCGCATGCGCCCTATAGCAAAAACCTCTCAAAAAAAAAAAAAAAACAAAAACGAAAGTTAAACGAGAAAATCCACTGAATGATGTAGGAAACTACTGTGTAAGGACCTCCCAGAATTAATAGGAGTTAAGCTCTGAAGATGCATAGCTAACATAGCAAACAGCTGTGTACTCACCTCCCAGAATTACCAGATGTTAAACTCTGAAGATCCGAGCTAGCAGATGATGTAGCAGTTACATTGCTAGACTCCCGCATGGCCGACCACAGTTCTAGTCCTGGACCTGGTGGCTAGAAACTCACGTCGGGCTCATGTGTGTGTATGCTCAAGAACCCAGGAGGAAAATGGAAGAGAAGGGATTGCAGCATGACCATCCCCCCAGTGGTGATTTTTCACTTCCTTCTCATTCATTGTCTCTGTCTCTCTCCCGTCTCTTTCTCTCCAGTGAGTGCACACACCCTAAGGCAATAACCTCTTTTTTTTTTTTTTCTTAAGTTATTTGATTTTACTTTATTTAAATTTGACCAGAGAGGGGCAGTATGAGAGATAGAGAGGGAAAGCAAGAAAGCAAGCCACCAGGTCCAGGCCTTGAATTACAGTCAGCCATGTGGGAGTCTAGCACCCTTAACCACCATGCCACCTGCCAGCCCCAGGCAATAACCTCTTAAAAATAAACCAACAAAACACTCTGAAGATCTATGACACAGTGTTCTAATTTAAAAAAAAAATAGTAAAGCTTGAGCTGGCCCATTAGTCTAGTGGTTAGGGGAGCCAAATCCCATATGGCTGATTGCAGTTCACATCCCAGCCCAGAGGCTTGAAAAACATGCAGACATTGTGCACACATGTGTCAAATACTGATGGGACAGAAAAATGGAGAAGGGGGGGCAGCAAGTGGTATGGTAGTTAGGGTGCTGGACTCCCTCTCATATGGCTGACTATGGTTTGAGGCCTGGACCTGGTAGCTTGCTTTCTCACTTTCCTTTTTTTTTTTTTTTTTTTTCTTTTCTCTCTCTCTCTCTGATCAAAATGAAGAATGATAATAAATAAATAAAATAACTATTTTTTTTAAAAAAAAAAAAAAGAAAAATGGAGAAGGAATTGTGGTAAGACCATGAAAAAAATAAATAAATAAATAAAAATGGAGAAGGAATTGTGGTAAGACCATGTCCCCATTAGGAGCATGATTTCTCTCTCTCTCTGTCTCTCTCTCTCTCATCTGACGTGTCCGTGCCCTCTGGCAATTAAAGAATGAAAAGAAAGCTTTATAAATGAAGCTGATGTGTAGCCTTTCAGTCTGCAGTTCATCTCTTCCTCATATCTGTATCTTTTTATGACATAGTGCAGACTTTTTTTTTGTTCAATTTTTACTCTAGGGCACGTGCAGCTTGCCAGCAGGTGGGGAAAGAGACAGAGAGAGAGAGAGAGAGAGCAAGCGAGCGAGAAATCCCCCTGGGTAGGATGGTCATGCCATAATCTCCTCTCTTCCATTCTCCTCTCGGGATCTTGGGCACATACGCACATGCGCCCGGCGTGAGTTTTAAGCCACCGGTCCGGGATGCTAACCGCGGTCAACTACGTGGGAGTCCAGCAGCATAGCCATTACGCTAACTGCTGGTCCCGTGCCTGGTATGTTTTTTAAGCTGCCAGGTCCAGGACTCAAACCTCACAGTCAGCCATGTGGGATCTAGTCATTTTAACCACCACACCACCTGGCTGGCCACATTGTGTGTACTTTTAAAATGTGTACAGAGGCTAGCAGCAGGTGTAATGGTTAAGGTGTTGGACTTCCACATGGTTGACTACAGTTTGACTCCTGGACCCAGTGGCTTGAAACTCACATGTGTGCATGCAAAATCCCAAGAGGAGAATGGAGAAGGGATCACAGTGTGCCTTCCCCCCACCCCTGGGGGGGGTGATTTCTCTCTCTCTCTCTCTCTCTCTCTCTCTCTCTCTCTGTATCTTTAGTGAGAGCATGCACCCCATAGCAAAAAACAAATTTCTCTCTCAAAAAATAAATAAAATGTGTATGAGTATACATGTATATCATATTTTGCAATCCAGTCACATTTGTTTTGGAACATGTGCGTGCTGCTACATATGTATCTAGTTCATTCATTTTGACTGCTGGGTGTGTGGGAGTTCTTCTGTTTGTTTCTAGTCCTTCCACTATGAGGAAGAAGAGTGAGGCAGTGAATAAAACCCTTGCCCACATCTCCTTGGGCACACACATGCTGGTTTCTCTAGAGAGCGGTGCTGTCCAATAGAGGCTGCAGGATATTTGTGTAACTAAACATTTTTTAGTAGCCACACTTTTTCAAAGTAAAAATAAACAAGGTAAATTAATTTTAAGAATATAGCTCAGAGGATCAGCAGTTGGCATAATGGTTATGTCTCTGGACTCCCATGTAGTCAACTGTGGATAAGTCCCGGATCCGGTGGCTTCAACTCACACAAGGTGCGTGTGCGTGTGTACCCAAGATCCTGAGAGGAGAATGGAGGAAAAGGGATTTCATCGTGGCCATCCCCCATGGGGGTGATTTCTCACTTTCTGTCTCTCTGTCTCTGTCTTTCTGGCGAGCACACGCACCCTATAGCAAAAACCTCTCAAAAAAAAAAAAAAAGAATATAGCTCAGTGCCAGCAGGTGGCTTGTGAAGCCAAAGTAAAAATAAACAGATGAAACTATTATAATTTTAGTTGGTGTGGTGGTTAAGGTGCTGGATTCCCACATGACCAGCTTCATGGTTCAAGTCCCAGACCCAGCGACTTGAAAATCAGATTAAATAAATAATTATTTTTAATGAATATATTTTAGGGCTAGCAGGTGGAGTTTTCAGGTGGCCGGATCCCACATGGCTAACTATATAGTTTGAGTTTTGGACCTGGTGGCTTGAAAAACATGACAGGTGTGTTTGCCTGCTTGCCCCCAAATCCCTAGAGAATGGAGAACTTCGGATCAGCTTGCAGCCTGGCCTTCCTTCCTGGGAGTGTTTTCTCTCTGATGAGTGATACTCTCGATTGCAAAAACTAAAAAGAAGAAAGAAAGTAAGAAAAAAAATTTTATCCTTTGAGACCAGCAGTTGGTGTAATGGCTATGTCATTGGACTCCCATGTAGTCAACCGCAGTTCGTGT